TGGGCTCAACCCGAAGAAAAAATAAGGCTTCGGCCGTAAATTAAATAAAGCTGGAAAACTTAAATCGAAACTCGGACAAAATTAGTGTCTACAATGGGCATCCTTCAGGCAAGAGGCTGCTCAAAGAATATTGCAAATAAATTTGCTTTTTGTGATTAGGCGGAATCAGTGAACCACCTCCTACGATTTTGCAATTTCTCATGGAAGATTTGGTGCAAATTCTGTCATTATTGGGGTTTTTCCAGGTGATACCTGGTTCCTTAAAGTTGTCATTCTTCTTGGAGTGGACTGATGGACAATACGGATCAAAAGATTATTTGGGACTGGTTGTTTTAAGCTAGTATATGGTCTATCTGGTTTGCGCAAAATGAAAAGCTTTTCAATAAAAAAAATCTCTCTCTCAACCAAATCTACAACCTTATTAGCATCAGACTTTGATGGTAGATGAAAGCACAATTTCTAGAGAAGAATCTTTTGATCCTGAATTTTCAATCTAACATCCATGACAATAGCTTCCTTCCTGCCAAAAAACCGGCCAGATCACACACCTTCTGGTCGCCCCTCCCTATGGAGTTTGGAAGATTACCGTGGACGGATTTACATTTGGAATACCTAGACCAACGGGAATTAGAGGTGTTGTTCTGTATTGGGAAGGTAACCTTTTGTTTATTTTCTGAAAGAACATTGGGATTATATACTCATACTTAGCTGAACTAATAGCTGTTCTTGAAGCCCTATCTATCATGGTTGAAGCCAAAATCAACCCTCTTCCAGAGATTGTTGTTGAAAGTGACTCGAAAGTGGTCATCTCTTGGCTCAACGAACTTAGTGAAAGCCCTTGGAAGTACAATGACGTTTTTAACAAGCTTCTAAATTTATACGTCAACACTAGGAGAATTATTTTTGCTCATATTTTTAGGGAAGCTAATCGCTTTGCTGACTGTCATGCTAAGATGGGAGTTAACCCGAAATTGTGATCTAGTGGCTTTATTATAGTTATGTAACTGTTTCTATTAATAATATTTCCCTTAAATTAAAAAAAAAAAAAAAAAAACAAGTTGCTGAATACAAATACACAGAAACAAGCTAGCTTTCGTAATTTAATCTTTGAAGTTGCAGTCCAAATATGGCATGAAATACAAACTTAAAATGGGCCACGAAAGTGTTATACGTTGGATGCATGAATTTGAGCGGAAAAGATATTATTGCATAAATTAACCTAAAAAAGGTAAAAAAAATGGTTACAAATCCATTCCCCCTAAGCCATGTCATAAGTTCATTTGACTCAGCAAGTTGCGGCCAAAGCTTCCTTCTGATTGTTCTGATCCGATATGAGTTGACTGCAATAAAAAGAGAGGAAAGAATTAAGGGAGCGATCTTCCACTATCTTTGAAAATATGTACGTATTTTGTGAGCGGATCTTCTACCTTTGCCAATGAAAATGTTTTGGATAGAAACATATCTATAGCTTAAGAATGAAGACATATTCTGTGATTTCTTTTGGTTTTAGCAGCATACGGTATCTTTATTTAAGATATATTTTAATATGGTATCGATTACGATTTTCACTAAAAAAAACTATTTAAAGATAAATTATTAAAGGTATATATATCTTTTTTAATGTAATATATATGTAGTTGCAAAATGAGCAATAGAAAAGAAATTATGAAGAAACAAACCGTAGAGCATGAGTAAGTTGGGATGCTTTGATGACGTCATTGTTTTCCCTTGCTTTTAAGATTTGAAAAATGATGGCAAGGCGAATTTGCGTGCTGGCACTTTGTTGAAGTATAATTATAGTCTCCTTTCGAAGTTGTTCACATTCTAATTCTATGATTTGGAATTTTTCTCTCACTTGCCTTTGCCTTTCTGTGATTCCTTTTTGTTCCTCGTTAATCTCCTTGATTCCTTTTCTTAGCTTTTCTATGCGGCTTTTAAATTTCTTCTTCTGCAGTGATATTAAATAGCACATAAATCATGAGATCATGAGACATTAAAATCTCTGCCTTCATACAACATTGACCATACTGTCATAGTGATACTAAATGTTGGTTATTTTAAACGTCCAAGTACAAAGTCAATAAAAATATATTTTACAGGTTTAGTTGAATTGGAAACTCGAAACAATTGTTTGGTTTTATATCTTAATTTGTAAATGAAACTGGATCAATAATACCTGATTTCCCCTTTTTGATGATGTTGAAGGCTTTTTCGCAATTGCTAGTGGAGACTTCATCTATCTTTGAAGACTTGACACTAGTTTTAGTTTTTCTTTTTGTGTGTGCTTGGCTATCAAAAATTGTTGGGATATATGAGAAAAACCATGTTGATGGCCCTAAATATATACAAACATTGCAACATCCTTTCGTGGAAAAGGTTCCTTAGACAAATGGAAATTATGTGGTCCGCATTATTTATATTCGCAGAACTTGTCTGGTGGTGCTAGAAGCACTTCGTTTTCAGGTCTTTCAGCTTTTCATATTCGGTCTTTATGTGTGACTTGGCAGATAGCATCTCATTTACCAAGACATTCTTTTTTTTTTTTTTAATTCAACCCCAAAAAACACTACGAGAAAGTTGTCAATTTAAATAAATTTTTATTTTTATTTTTGTTAATGAAAAGTTGAGTTTTTATCTCATTCACCTTTGTTTCATATGATATACTGTAATAATCATTCTTTTACGGTTATTTATATATATAATTATCTATTTAAACGATTTTCTTATAAATTTCACCGATTATGATCGTGAAAATGAATGTAGATATATCTATACATATATTGTTGACTTTTCCAAATGATTGGGCTATCTCGTGGTAAGATCATTTCCTTAAAATCTCTCCTATAAACCACAAGAGACGTATCTCAACCTTGGACTACTCTCTCTGATCCATGGACTCAGGTTTGGGCATGGTTTAATCTTAAATGTTAATAAGAAATATTAAATGGGTGGGTCTTTGCTGGCCGAGCAGGAGGTAAAAGTTGAAACTAGAGTTGGTTGCTGCAGAATGAACCCAAACTTCAAAACCTGCCTGAAAAAATCCGAAGAAATTAACCAAACTCATATTGACAACTGAGTTTTGTAGCTTTGTTTTCTTTTCCACTTGGAGTTCAGGATTATAATATTAATGTGACTAAATTGTATGCTATGGAATACGCCTTAGATGTTTATGACCCGAGGTAACAGGGTTCTGTTTTGTTCCCGTTAATTTGTTTGTTTCTGGTTTCACATGTCTACAGGTTTTTGCTAAGATTAGGTGTCTTGTCTTCATTTGTGTTCCCTGTAGTGTTGTCTGAATTAGTTTAATCAAATGATATTTAGCGATAAAAAATTTCTCAATTTCTTTCAATATATCTTTTTTTTCGATTCGGTCCAAACAAATTTATTGAATTGAATTTAACGAATTTATAATAATTTATTCTTTTTATAATTTTTTAATAAATTTAAATTCAAAAAATAAATGAAAAAATATTTTTTTTATCAATTAAACCAATCATCTTTCGGTTAAATCATAATTTTAACCCATAATAATGAGGAATAAAGAAGCCATAATAACTTATTTTCGTGGAAACGAAATTACATATTTATCCTCGTTGCCGATATTAAATAATAGTAAAGTAGATGGGCCACATTTTGTGCAATCAAAATGGACAAAAGATATGGTGCTCTAGAAGGTGACTTAGAGTAGATCGGGCGAGACCGTTGAAGAATTGTTCTGCTCAACGGCCGAAGTCGCGCGATTTCCCGGCAAGAAAAGAAAAGCTAACAATATCCAATTTCTAAATAAGCATACATCACCTATGAATGTGAAAGGATTTTTTGTGTTAATAAACCAACCAAACATCAATTGAACAGTATGAGCTGATATATATATAAAAAAAAAAAGGAAATTTAAAATCTACCCTAATGATAAATCAAATAATTTCTCACCGAATTTTTCCTTACACCCTTACTAAAAGTTCAAGTGTCCATCACCAAAATGTAAGCAAATGTAAGGGCGTACCCAATATAAGCAAATGTAATGCCTCGCATCTTTATCTTTTTTATTGGCTAAAGATTAAAAAAAAAAACTCTTAAATTATAATTTAATAATCATTTAAACTTTTAACATTTTATTCCAATAAATTAATTTTTTATTTCTTATTTGTATCCAATTAGACCCTTAATTAGATAAAATTTAGTCATGTGATAAAATTGAATTAATCAATTCCCAAATTATAGTTAATTGAACATTTAGAGAGATTTTAAAGAAAGAGAGAATAGAAAATAGAGAAGATAAATATGATATTTAATTTTTTATATATATTAATTGCTTTACATGACAAAATTACATTTATTTTATTGATATTATATGAAATTTTATCATAGTTGATAAAAAATTAATTGATGTTAACTTTTTCATCCAAATAAAGACTTAATTTGATGTAAATAAATATTAGAGGGATTGATTGATTTTAATAAAAAATTAGGACTTAGATTATTTTTAATTATAGTTCTTAGATTTTTTTTAGACCTTTTAGCCTTCTTTATTTTATATATAGGTGCAAAAAATTCTTATCTAATTTCAAAATTGATGAAAATAATTCCTTGGGTACAATCTATTTAAGTTTTACACTTTTTTTTTATAATTTTGTTTATAATTAATATTTTAACAAATCAATGATTAGATTTAATAACATATTTAGAAAAAAAAAGTTTTAAACTGATCCAATATACATATTACACCGATTTAAAATATAATTATTTTAACATATACTTTAACAATTGAAATCATATTGCTATCAAATAAATAGTTAAATATTTTAAATATTTGAAATTTGACATATTCGATTTTCTTATTTTGAACATATGATTTAATTAAACAAAATGTAAAGAATATAAAAATAGTAAAATTTAATTAATTTATCTTTATATTATAATTAAATTTAATATAAAAAAATCTTAAAATTCAAATACGTAAGACATAAATTGAGTATTTTCAGATTCAACAGTCACTTCTTTTAACCTGGATTTATCTCATTTATTTCCGCACATGACACATACCTTATGCTCGCGGAAAAAAAAGGCCTACAGCTTTTTTTGGTCAAACTAAAATACAAAATCAAAAGCTTTTGGATAAATAAATGCTTTCTTAACGAGCAAGCTGTGTAATATGAACTCTCTTAGCAAAAGCTGTGTAGTATGAACTCTCTTAGCAAATTTTTTAAGGGTAGGCTTAACTGCTGATGATTGGCAGAGACGAAGAAGAAATGAAGAATTTTAAGGGTGCAAGACAACAAACTGGGTTCGAAAAAGTTTCCCAGAAGAAGCATCGCAGGTCAAGGAAACCCAAGTTTGAGGTAGTTTCAATAAATTTATTGGAAAACTTTTGGCCTTTCTTATCCCTTAAAAATATAGCCTTTTGTTAAATCCTTGCTTTTTTTTTTTTTGCATTTCTCTATATAGCTTATCAAACCAAAGAAAGTTTACGATAACAAGAAAAAGGATAAGAAAAAGAACCAGATGGAGATCACCCAGATCGCCAAGCTGGGGCTGGAAGAGTTTCCGATCATGTTTTCTGAAATTAGGGAAAGGAACCGCCTGCTGGAAGAGCTGAACTCTAAGATCAACCGTTACATTCTTGATAAGCTTTCTACTTGGGATGCCGAAGACAAATAAAGGCTTTTGATCATTTGATCCATCTGGTTGGTTTTGCCCTAAAATTTATCAGTTTACAATCAGTTTGTTATTGAAATTTATCAGTTTACAATCAGAAGTCTGATGGAATTTAATAATTTGCAAGGGATCTTATCTACCAAGCTGCTTCGGTTGAATAAAGAGAAGAGAAGAGCAAGCATCTTGGATTGCCTACTGTTTCTTTATGTATGCATGAATCTACTTATCTATCTATCTATCGAGAACTGAATTGGTGTGTTTTATCTTGGATTGCTTACTGTTTCTATATGTATGCATGAGTCTACCTACCTACCTACCTATCTATCTATCAAGAACTGAATTGGTGTGTTTCATCTTGGATTGCTTACTGTTTCTATATGTATGCATGAATCTACCTACCTACCTTTCTATCTATCAAGAACTGAATTGGTGTGTTTTGGGAATTGAAAGAAAAATCTCTCTGCACTTTTTATTTCATCTGAATAGCTTAATTTGCTTCCACGTACTTTGGGTGATAATCAATTTATCCTTGCTTGTAATTGCTAATTTGGATAAATTATATTATATAGTATTTTGAACTGTATTGGTTTTCGGAGTATAAGAAATTATTTTGAAAAATGAACTAAAGCAAATTAAGCAATCACACATCACTTCTACAATTGCTGATTAAGGAGTTCAACATATAGTATTTCCTAAGATCTTCATCATACCACCCTTTAGCCAGAAATTGTAGCAGAAGAAAATGTCCTCAACATTCCCCAATTTTATACAATCTCTCATACTATATATATCACCCATTAGATCATATACCTTAACCACTCGAGTAATAGTAAAGTATTAATGTAAGAAGTATCATACAGCATATTCTTTCAAATAATTGTACACGAAAAATCCAATTTCTTAGCATTAATTTCTTGAACAAATCCTAGATGACTATTAGGATTATAAAGTTTTTTGGTGTGCATAATTTTTCTTTTCTTTTTTTTTTTTTTTTGGTTATATAATCCATTGGGACAAATATTATGGTACTTAGGAGGAAAACTGCTTTTTATCTAATGACCAGCCTAAACATTAAAAAGGAATCAGTATGCCCTAACTATTAGATTAAAACATTCTCGTTTCTTCATTACCACCATAGTCTTGAACAACAGATCCATTATCAGGTATATCTTATCCTTTTAGTTTATAGTGCTTTTGAGCTTCATTAATATTAACTTTCCCAAGAACCTCCTTTCCATTTACAATATATAATCTTGATGATTGATTTATCTAGTGGAGAAAGCAATAGACTCTTAGACAGACCTTAATTCTAGAAAGTGGCACTTTTTTAGCTTTGAATTTTTCAGACGAGATCTTTGTTTTTCTATAGGATTGTTTTTTTTTTTTTTAAAGATATGAACAGTTTAATGACAAGATCAACAACAAAATCCAAATATCATGAAAAGATTTATTCTATTGATGGAAAACATATGCTTCCTTAATTCCTTATCTTCCACCATCTCACCTACAAATTGGCCTCTAATTTACCAGTAAAATTGGATCACCCCTCCCTAGCTAACTGACCTTGAAAGATTCTATACATATCCTTCTTTTATCTCTTCTATACATTCGACCAAGCAGCCTTTTTTTTTTTTTTTTGTTATTACTATTATTACTCTGTAGTTAGACAAACAATTTTCTCTTTTCTTTTAAATTGTTAGGATTATGGCTTTTAAAAGCACTTTGTCTAACCCTAACCCAAAAATCTTCCCACACTTTGTATAAAAAAAAGTTTAGATGTACTCGCTGCTTCAATGCGGCCAGATTTTTAATCTTTTTGTGCAGTTGTTCCATTTCATTTTGTTTGAATATCCGATGGTGCAGTGTAATTGAGCTCTCCAACTGCACTGGACCAATAATGGATCAATAATTTTCAACTGGAAGTAAAGGATTAAGTGAGCCACCGCATCGAATCCTTTACCATAATACCCATTACTGATTTTTATTTCTATTTTTCTGTTTTTTATTTTTATTTTATATTTATATTTAAATTATTTTATATTTTAAAATTTACATATTTAATATTATTTGTTAAGTTATAATTTGTGTAAATATATTATTATTAAGTTTTTAAAAATTATATTATTTGACATAAATATTTTAATAATTTTTAATAATTTATTAATTTTATAAATGTCAAATAATTTAAACAAACTTTTATATAATACCTTTAATTGCGATTTTCTCATCTCAATATAATTCACGGATTCATATCTAAATATATATTTTATTATTGATTTTAATCTCATCAACATAATATCTAATCTTATTGCCTTAATAACTAATCTCATTTTCAATTTCATCGGAGTGAAAAAATATATCCTTAGTAGAAGCTTTTCTCTGTCTTTAGGGGAAAAAAATGAAAAGCGAAAAATCCAATCCAAATTTGTCAGGCAACCAACCTAAGAACAAGATTTCACAACCAAACAAATAAAAAAATATCTCCACATTCCCAGATACGAAATCTAATAAACAAACCAAGTAATAGAAAACTTTGGGCACAGAGAATGCACCAGAACCTTGAGATCTATCCCACGTCAAGATACAAACCACCTGAAATTATTTTAGTTTTAGAACTTAGATCCTACAATCAAAGTACAAATGTCGTATGTATAACTAACCAAATCTAATTTAATTTTATAACTAATAGTTCTCAGAATTAGATATGCAAATATATTGAGAAATTTTACAATCAATAAAAACTTAACTCTTTTGAATAGAAGATTTCACTTCATTTTTAATTATTAAAAAATTATATTTAGATTTTCAACTTTTTTATAATATTCTTGTTTAATTATTTTTAATTTTGAAATTAAAATATAATAATAGCTTAATGTAAAAATGCATAAAATTAAAAATATTAGACTTATGTTTTGAAAGTTGAAATTGAAAGAAGAGATTTAAATTTCAAATTTAATATATACATGTGTGATGGACTGGTAAAAACTTGATTTTTTTTATTATTTTCAAATTTATGGATACATTAGACCTTTATTTAGTGATAGATTATGAAATACCTTAGTAGTTTAGAAATTTTGAAAGTCAATAGGTCAAGCTACTTATCATTGCTCCCCGACCTGAATCTGATGTAGCCTTTGATCTGAATTTTAAACTTTGTACTTGGTTTGAAAATATTCTTTTTTAATAATAATACTTTTATTTAAATTTAATTATAAAAATATTTAAAATTCTTAAAATACTAATATAAAATATTTTTAATATTTTAATAATAAATATAATATCAGGGCGAGTCATGCTCGGGTTGGGCGTAAGTTTTAACTGTTAACTAGAGTAGGTCAAACCCAACGTTTGGAAACATCTACTTATACTCTTTCAAATACATAAACATATACATATCCATATGTGTATTGAATTTTAAGTAGTTTTTATGAGTGAAATCACTTCAAGAAGTTGCAGTGTGAGAAAGTGAGAACAAGGTTGAAAAGAATATACCAAAATAACAATCGACTAAAAACAAACAATTATTCATGCAATTCTTGTTTAAAACTTTGAGAGCACTGCTTAGTAATTGGTATAAGCAGCAGACCAAGAAATTAATGAAGGAATGTATCAGAACATTCTTTTTTACTTTTCTATTACTATTTTCCTTCCCTTCCCTTCTCATTCCTCTAAGCATAGTAGAAGAAAACACTACTGATTTCCACATGAAAAAAAAAAAAAGAAAAAAAAGAATTATAAAGCAGATATCAGATGACTTTATTTTTGCAGCTAGCTGGAAATATTAAGCTAATGCAATTTATGAGATATGAACAAGAGAGAGAGAGAGAGAGAGAGAGAGAGAGAGAAACAATTATTCACATATACTTACAGCACTCATGCATCTGCCCATTGTTGTTTGTAGCCTCATCTCATCATCAGTTCTTGTTCCTAAGAAATTTGGTTGTTTACCAAAAATCTCCATTTATGAAATTATAAGCCCCAATGCATACTACCAATTTTTGCTTGTTGACGGAGTTGTAGGAAAGTGCTTTAAGTCAACAAGGGACGACATTAACGAAGACCACACATGATTGCTCAAAGCTTTAAATATTTAATTTTTTTTTATGGTTTTTCTTTTTCGAATATCCAACCATGCGCTAGTGGACATGTGGTGGTCATTCAGTCTTATCCTTACACCTTACAAATAAACGAGCAGAATGCGCCGTAAATTTAGTACATTATTTAAAGGTGATAATTCATTTTCTTGTCCCTAAGCCATTAATTTAATGGTTAAAATTATTTGAAAAAACATCAAAAATATAATTTTAAATTAATTTTTTTATTATTTATATTAAAATTTTATTCTCTTAATATAATTAATAAAAAGATAATTCATTTGTTTATATATATATATGTCAAATTATGGATGTAAATTATTGATAAATTATATATAAAATTTTATATTATAAAAATATAAAATATATTTTTTAATTTATATTAAATAATATATAATTTTTATTAAAATTTAAAATTATATTATTTTAATGTTTTAATGGTATTGTCATATTTTATTTTGAATTATTAAATTTAATAATATTTGATTATTTTTTAAAAAATATTTTAAATTCATTCATTTGTATTAATACATTAAAGATATCATTAAATATATAATAGAATGTCATTTCTAATGTCCAATGAACGTTCATAAATTTATTATATATTTAATGAAATTTGACAAAAATAAATAAATTAAAAATGTTATTAAATTATTGTGAAAGTTAACGATAGGCACAAGAGGCTGGGAATATTTATATGTTATCTTTAAAAACTAAGAGTGACGTTTATTGTACTTTTGCTAACGTCTTCTATGTGAAAAAGTGTTCAATTTTAATAATGTATGTATGTATGTTTACCGGACTTTTTAGACAATTGAAGATTCTGGTAGGCAATTCTGACCAATCAATAAGGCCAACAACGTCATCAGACCATACCCAACAAGGACGAGGCAGCTGTCCAACATTTTTTGGATATTTTTAGCCTTTGG